GTAACTGATGCTGTATTCTCGTTATCCTATTCTACCAAACCTCCCACAAAGGAGTCTACGATTGGCGACATTGATCGTTCCCTCACCACAAAATTTATTCGTAACCACAACCAAAATTAAATCGTACACAACAACACCGAAAGTCGACAATCCAGCCAATCGACGCTAAATAAATGGGTTAAAGAAACAAACTGTTCGGAGAATCAACGATAATAGAAAGTTGAAATAGAGGAATATAGGTAAGCTACAGTGACCAAATTGAAACTTTACAACATTCAAGATTACAGTCCACGATTCTCAAGTTTTGATCTAGATTTATTAACACGATCCCTATTTGATCATCTACACAAGTAACAGCAAAAGCAACTGATTGACTCACTCAAGTGCTACTTTGCAAACAGAAGGCGGGAGTTGTGCTTTCCGTTTTCGCATCTTGTTTAGGTGTTGATGTAACCTCGATATTTCCTCCCCGTAGATGCGTTTTATAATTAGAGATTGAATTTTGAGCTCATTCCTTGAAGTTTGTAAGTTTTTTGAGTTTCAAGGCCGGCATTGACATGCACGAGTAGCTTGCATCTGCAGAGGTGGTTTGCTTGAGTGCTTACACCATAGAACAAGGCTTATATAGAAACGACTCTTACTCTTGTAAAAAGAGTGTCGATAAAGCGGCGCGCTCTGGTGCCTGCGAAATAAAGAATTTAAACAAACCTGTATTATGAACTCACTGTGATTATTTTTAATTGTATCGCAAGGGGTAGCTGATAATAGGGGTAAATGACACAACTACACAAAAATACATATAAAAAGATATATTACTTCTTTATTGTTTATATAATTACTTGTTACAGATCTCTTACAGATCAGAAAATATTTGGAGAGCATTTTTAGGAAAAAGGCTGACATCTAAGCCCGTTATATGATATTGCCTAACTGTTTACAATAATTAAATATTTATATTTTGAATACAAAATTATGGGAACAGTCAGTAAAAGATGTTATGTTGTTTGTTATGACGTATCCGGCCCTTTCTCTATTTACAGGGTGGTCTCAAAAAATCAACTTTGTGGTCTCGCAAAAGAAGGAAGGAAGTTTTAGCTTCACACGAGCCTTAAAATTGAAAATCGGTTTAAGAGAATAAAATTTATAACTGCCATACTAAAAAGTTAATGATTTGGAGACCAGTCTGCAAATAAACGATGTGGTTAAAAAATTGAGAAACTTTTTTTCAAATTATAAGATCTATCTTAATGCCTACAATACTAAATTTGATGGAAAACAGGTTTTATCCAACTGAGAGCATGTGAAAATTTCTCCAATTTTGCAATGGTTCAATTGCCACTTTCTAGAAATTTTATTCGAGGCACTAATTTTTTGCAAAACGCACGAACCGAAAAGGTTTTATGCTAAATAATGGTTCAAACAGAAACCAAATTCTCAAATAATCAGAATTTATTCAGTTCCAAAATTAGTCGAAATTTTTCCGTGTAACGGCTATTTTGTTGAATAGTTTATTTGCTTGCTATATCTCTTATAATGTATGTTATATACTGCGTTATGGTTATCATTGACCGTGTCTTGCAGACCAGGTTCTCAATTGATTTAAGGTTGACACCTTATTGATGTCACCTTTTATGAGCATTTTTACAAAGCTCTGAACAAACATAAAAGTATGCTAATTTCAAAAAACAACTTACATTTGTAAAAAAAAACGATGCCAAATTTTGCGCTTTAACATTTAATGTTAATTTAATCGCTTTTCTCTTAGATTCAATGCGGATCGACTATCAGCAGTGTTCTTTGACCATGACAGATCCAGTTCATATGAAACTGCGACATTTACAAGGCGGATTCGAGGCATCTTTAAACACAATTCGTATGGAAATGGAGGAAATTACAATAATGACATCGCTCTTTTGAAGCTTGATCAGGATGTGTCATTGGATGCCATGACCAGACCGGTATGTTTGCCTTCCACTGGAAAGAGTTTTACAGGACTAAATGGTATTTATGTATTTGGATTAAAATATTTAGTTATAAGTGAGAAAGAATATGTTGAAAATTAAGAATCACACATCAAGAAAGCTGCTGACTTTGAATATTAGACACTTTGATATTATGGAATGTTAGTTCATAGTAACGTTAAAATGTTGACGGTTTTCCAGGTTTTGACCGTATTAGCAAAATCAAATAAGGGTTGCTCACTGTTCTTAAGTGAATGAGCTTTGCCACGCCTGACTGAGCCATAGTCTTTAGACCGAAAACAAATCAAATTTGAAGTTACTGATGCCAATCTGAAATACTTGCGACCTCAAGGTGTAAACCAAACCATATTTTAGTTTAATTACTGTGTTTTTTAAACCGTTACGGGGCGAAAGAGTAGAAAGTCGTCCCAAAGTCTACATAGCAGTTGCTAAAACTTCGCTTGGTATCAAAAATCACCATATCATCAAGGTTTATCAAGTGAGTGAACATACTCTTTCCTTGCCGCATTTGGTTTTCGTTGCTGTAATTATGATAATTATTCGGTTAATTAATTCTTCCAGAATCCTTGGTTGGATTTACCCAATGGAGGGTATTCTTCAAGAAGTGGCAGTTTGTACGCCTGAGTTCCCTTGGCGCAACTCATTAAGAGAATCGCATAATTCCAAATAACCAACTGTAAATAATTACAGGGTGATTCAAAATTGGCGTCATTCCTCTGGAGGTGTTGTCTGGCGCTGTTGTAGGAGTGCATAAAAAATAGTAAAAGAAATTAATTGTTATTAAAAACGGAGACATTTGCAAAAAGCTATATCAGAAATACGGCAGCAATGTTTTTCAAGGTAATCTGCTTAAGTTACAGTGCACAAATACCTGTTGCTTCGTAATTATTTAAAACTCCGGTAACCATGGAATTATACAGACTGACAATAAGATAGACAAGGATAAACAGTAAATTCAACAAAATTTGTTGACGAAATGTCAACCCGTTCTCATAACCTCGAATTCTGCGGGGTTTTGTGTCAGAGACTTGTCTTGTTGTTTGTAAATAAACTGTGCAACACCAAACATTTGAATGGTGGTTAACTCCAAACAAGCTAGTGCCTGTGTAATCTCCTTATTATCCACTCTTATCAAGCAGCTTCTCGTATTCAGTGAATTAACTCGTGCTCCATTTGTATCTCCTTGTGCTGTGTGTATCGTACAAACGTCTTTCCTCGGTATTTACTTGGTGCTTGGGAAAGTGTCAGTT